CTGCCTAACTAATAAACGATAATAAATAAGACAATATAATCAGGATCGCAATTACATGGTCAGAGCGTTCTACAAACGATTATTTTCCTTGTTTTGTCATGAAAAGTTAGAATATGATCTAACGAAAGCTAACAAATTCATTTGTAAAAAGTGATTACGCTGTTCTTGAAAACAATTCGTCTCAGTTATACAATGTTTGTTGCCATGCTTTTCATAACTTTTCTCAAACATGGGTCACGCGAAGTCACACGAAAGCAAATGATATTGATCTCTGATTCAATCCTAACTCCATCTGCAAATCTTATTGCCCTACTGGAGAACGAAATGCAGAAAGATAAGCCATTTAGCTAACGTTTCCGTAGTGTAGTGGTTATCACGTTCGCCTAACACGCGAAAAGTCCCCGGTTCGAGCCCGGGCGGAAACAAGCCTCTTGTACAAATTCACAAATGCAAAATTTGTCTTTAATGAAAACATCCCTGACGACGATGTGTTTTTCTTTCCATAAAATGACCTTACCCCTGAAAAAAATGATCCGTGAATATTAATAAGCTGCCGCGCGTTTCTGTAGTGTAGTGGATTTATCACGCTCGAACATTATCACTACACTACAAAAACGCCTGCCCTTTTTCGGTACTTAATAAGACAATAGAATTAGGACGGAGGTGTTTTATTATAATGATTCTTTTCGCCGGGGTTATTTCCACGTTTCCCAACTGGGGAATTCCTTCACAGTCGCGTTGACAACTAAGCTGGTCATGCCAAACAGGGTACCAATAGCGTTCCACATAGGGCTGCCAGTTCTGGAATGGCCGGGACTTATTGCTTCATTGTTACGGACATAAACGAAGATATCGATTCTTGGGGAGACATCCATTTTTGTAACCAAGTTGAATTGTGCTTGTCTGAAAGAAGTCTGACTTCGGTCTGATGAAACCTTGCAAATGTACATCCTAATTTGTCTCTCGTTGCACTTAAAATAAAATATTCGCTGTTAAAAATACGTTTCTGATCAAATCAAAATGTTGAATCGTTTCCGCCCGGGCTCGAACCGGGGACCTTTCGCGTGTAAAGCGAACGTGATAACCACTACACTACGGAAACGCTCGCCATGCAGAGGGAATACTTAACAACAGAATGCAATTAGGATGGCAGTGTTTTAGAATTAAAATTCTTTTCGCTGGAGTTAATTCCACGTTTCCAAACTGGGGAAGAATTCCTTCACAGAGAGAAATTTTGTCGTTCTTGTGGAGCAATTTTGCTTTGTGTTTGCTGTAGATTTACTAATTTTCTTTTGTTCTTTATTTTTGCTTCAAGTAGTTTAACGGTCTGGAAGTTCGATCCCCACGATGGGCGTTCAATAAATATTTTTTTCAGTAAAATGCAAATTGATATTGGAGTTTGGTCAGTTAGAAATTCTATCAAATCATTTCTATATTTTCTGTACTCGGTTTCCGTAGTGTAGTGGTTATCACGTCCGCCTAACTAATAAACGATAATAAATAAGACAATATAATTAGGATCGCAATTACATGGTCAGAGCGTTCTACAAACGATTATTTTCCTTGTTTTGTCATAAGAAGTTAGACTATGATCTAACGAAAGCTAACAAATTCATTCGTAAAAAGTGATTACGCTGTTCTTGAAAACAATTCGTCTCAGTTATACAATGTTTGGTGCCATGCTTTTCATAACTTTTCTCAAACATGGGCCACGCAAAATCACACGAAAGCAAAGGATATTGATCTCTGATTCAATCCTAACTCCATCCGCAAACCCTATTGCCCTACTGGAGAAAGAAATGCAGAAAGATAAGCCACTTAGCAACCGTTTCCGTAGTGTAGTGTTCGCCTAACACGCGAACCTGACACGCGAAAGGTCCCCGGTTCGAGCCCGGGCGGAAACAAACCTTCTATTTGACTTGGTCATAATTGTTTCGTATCGGAAACCGTTTTATTTCAAATGGAACCACGTGCATAACTGGGAACATTTGTGTTAGTGTGCAGCAAGACTCCTGAATCATCTAAAATAGTATACTTAGGCTGCAGAACCCTTTCATTGTATGTGCACGGACACCAGGACGAATTAGTCACTTTGTTTTGATTGAGGCTTACGTAATTATGTAAAGCAGATTTCTAGCTTGAGGGTTTTAGAGTTTTCGTAGTGTAGTGGTTATCACGTTCACGCGAAAGGTCCCCAGTTCGATCCTGGGCGGAAACATTCTTTTTTTATATTGCATTTTGGTAGTGATATGTCTTTGGTAATCATGTGAACCAAAAACTAAAAAATACAGTTTGGAGAGAAAAGGTAGCAAGCTTTCAAACTTACCTAAACGATAATTTTATTTGTTTGAAAAGATGATAAAACAGGGTGCTCCAACGGTGTGCCGAGAAGCTTTTTGGAGTTTTAATTAATAAGCCATTTGTATCACACATAGCCATGCATGCAACGGGCAAGCTTGGGTCCGCGCTATCCATGATTAGAATCTAATTTTATTGCACTTGCCTAGTCGATGTAGTAAGAGTAATTGCCACGTTATAATCGTATTGAATTGTTATGTTATAATGCATGGGTGACCAACCAGCTTTCAACCGCGATCGACTAAAATTTTCGAAAACCTCGCGATAGACTGATTGTCGATAAGGTCATACACAAAATAAATGAGTACTGAATATGCAGACAACTGCACACACGCATAAAAATTCCTCCGATGCCAATGAGCTTGCCTTTGTGGGCGTATTTTTAATGAAATTGCCGAAAAAATTTGGTAAATTTTAATCATTTATTCAAGATTTATTCAAGTTATTATAAGATCGTTCGACGGCCAAGGCACACAGTGTTCGGGAGATTCACTTCTCAACCTCGGCATCGGCGAAACTTTTTTGATACGTAATGTACACTATCGGGCTTATCCATGAAGTCTCAAATACGGTAGATGTATATCATATTTTTTGAGCATATAAAGTACTGTATTCGTCCTGCTTTAAAACACACAACAGCGCTGCATGAAACTGGTTCGCAGCGATTTTTGGGAGTATCCTATTAAATTCCCATACCATCACACAATCGAAGTGTTGGCGAATGGCAACCCCTGTATAATGTATTTGTAAACATGACGTCCACCGCCAACCATCTGCTTACAAATCCCATTTCAGTATCGTTGCAAAAGCCATCAAAATAAACTTGCCATTTGCATCTTCATGAGTCTGTGAACACGGATTTTCTGCTAAAAAATTAAAAGCAAAAAGGAATCGACTTTTTGGAATTAGCGACGCAATGCGGGTGTGGTTGGCAACGACAGAATCTCGTTTAAATCGTAATCGTTTCTCAAAACAGGCACATTAATCGCATTAACACTTGCAGAATAATTTTTTCAAAGCTAACTTTTTTTATTTTTTTAAGGTGCCGAAAATTGTTTTCTATTTGCTCAGCGCGCCGCAAGCAAAAGAGAGAGAATGAGAGAGATTTATTTTTCGTCAACCAGAAAAAAAATACTGAATCAATAGCAAAAATAAAAATATATACAATAACATGTACAGTTTTTCGGTATAGACTTGGAGGAGAGTCAGCTCCCCCCATATTCACTATTTTAATTATGCATATAAGAATTTTCGGGTTAGTATATGGTATAAAAGAGAATGGATAAGGTTGTCTGGTTTTCTACAATATATATAGTTTAGGTTTGGCTATATAATTGTTTGAGCTTTGTACCCAAATTGGTACCAAGTTAGTATGTAGCTATACTAATTTATCTAAGCAACAACAAATATAATGGTAATTTTATTTACGAATCCTTTTCTGTCATAGAACCGTATTTTACAAAAAAAAAATTGAATGGCAATTTAGTAATGTTTCATCTGTCAGAAATTGGTGCCGGGTCCACCTGTCGTGGGTAGAAATGATTGTTATGACCTCAAACCAATATTTGAAGCAAAGATCTATAGAGGATAGTCTACTAATGGAATTTACAGCTAGTTTTGATGCCCGTAATTTACCCACAATTACTAAGCTCCTGGAATCGAACCAGGGTTGGCTCATGTAATCCGCGTCGTCCCGGTTTTTTCGTTTCAGAAATATGGTTAGTCTAGTTTATAACTACGTCTCTGAAACGACCCCCAAGTCTTCACGTTGATGATTTTTGGAGCATCAATTCCTTGCTTTTTTATTAGGAAACAATGGGAAAATCCTTTTTCAATTATATTTTAAAAATTTATGCGTGAAATAAGTTTCCCAGCAGTAAATTAGACCATGAAAAAGCATTAGTTTGGTCCTATAACGACCCGAACACCTGTATGCTAAAGTTAGCAACCAAGTCCACGATTCCGGGAACAAATAACCAACTAATCCCATAACCCACATGGAGTCGTAAATGATCGAGAGGCCTTGATTAGCCATATGATAAGGCCGTCTTATCGATTTTCCTTACCCTCGGGATAAATATGTAAATCCTATCCTGAACATCCAGGACTGACTTTTTCTAAACATTGGACTCCGTGCACCTCTGTGAGTTCGTCATCTGATTTTTCTACTTTGCCGCCTGATTTTTGTCCGTTATACCGTTATAACTAATGAGTATACAGGTATTAGTTCATTTTGACTCCATAGTCAGAATAAAAGACGTAGTCCCAATTAATACTTACAGCCTTGGAAGGAATTTAGCTTTCAGTCTTTAGGTGGAGAGAAAACATGGTACCGGTACCAGTACCGTACCATAGGTTGGCTTTTTCAGATATTTAGTGATTGTAATATTTTTCCTAGGAAAGAAGCCGATAAGATCGCCTAATAATCATAATATTGCTGTGTGGCGAAACACGGCGACTGAAAAACAAAAAATTGGATAAAAGCGAAATAAAAAAACTATAGAATTTGTGTGAAATTAAAAAGCAGTACACAAAAAAGTATTTAGGTACCGGTACCGGTAACGTAAATAACAGCTCTACCTAACTTTGACTCTAGATTTCTAGCCCTGTTTTTTCTGTAAGTTACAGAGCTGATAACTTGTACAAATTTTGTTTTTAGTTTTATTTAGTAGATGGTTTAATATGAAGGATAAAGGTGAAGTCGTACAGTCGTTATCCTACGAAGAATTTTTGTCTTCAGAAGCAAAAGACTTCACCGATTCATCCCCAGAAAATTCAAAAAAGAAAAGAAAACGATGCAGTAATCCTAAGCGGACAGAAAAAGGACGGAAATCTGATGATTCACCAGATTTGTCTTTGAGCACGAACAATGAGAAAAAGGATAAAAATTCAAGCAAAAAGGAAGAGTTTTCGATCTCAAGATGCTCGAAATCAAACCTCAAGTCACAAAAAATTTATGATATTTTTACAAAATCGGGAGATAAATTAGCAAAAACAACTAAAAGCAACAAAAATTACGAGAAAATAACCAAGAAATTGAAGAATCACGATTGTGTTGTGGACCTAACTTCCCCAAAAACTTCAAACTCTGTTTCCAAAACTAAATCGAAAAATCCAAATTCAGCAATTGTCAAACAAAAAGGTCCTGCAGAAGAATCTCAATCCCCACCGATGAAACGGAAAAGGAAAGAAAATGGGCCAAAAGGAGAATCTTTTTTTTCCCAAAAAGAGGAGCAAAAATCTGCAGGTAATTTCGAAGCGCGAACCACATTTTTTGATTTGCAAAAGAAGTCAAATACATCAAAACAATCAAAAATGTTTCTGAATAAAGACACAGCTAAATCGAAAACGAGCAAAAAAACCAAAATATCAAATTCATCTGCAAAAACAAAAAAGCAGTTACGAATTGATGGGTCTCGGAAAATTACTAATTCTGCAACAGCAGAAAAAAAATCATCGAAATTATCTGAAAAAGAAAGAAAGTCTAGCAGCGACGGAATCGTTTTTGTTGGGGAAGTGAAAAGTTCTAAGCCAGTTTTTGATAGCCCGATGAAAACAATTTTTCCGCCAACAAGAAACGTTGTATGTGATCTACCTGCATTGGAAAACGAAACGATTTTGTGGACGGAAAAATACGAACCTATATGTGCTGTGGAAATTGCTGGGAATTCTTCTCATGTCGAGAAAATGTCAAACTGGTTGAAAGAATGGAAAAAACGGTGGGAAAAAGAAAAGGAAGAATTGGAACGACAGGAAAAAGGAGGGAAGAATGAAAAGGAAGATAGCGACAGTGATTTTGACCTTGACGAAGATGACAAGGTCAAACTGAAAAAAGAAGAAGATTCTTTTGCGAGATGTGGAGTCGTTATCGGTCCTTTTGGGTGTGGAAAAACGGCCTCAATTTATGCCTGCGCAAAAGAATTAGGTTTCAAAGTGTTCGAAATGAACGCTTCGTCTCAGCGCAGCAGTAAACAAGTTTTATCTCAACTACATGAAGCGACTCAGTCTCATCAAGTCTCAAAAAGTAAACAAAGTTTCAATTTTTTTGCAGTTAAAAATGACGTGAAAAAACCGTCCCAAAATTCTTTAATTTTATTCGAAGATGTTGATGTCTTATTTGATGAAGACAAGTATTTCTGGTCTGCCGTTCAGAATTTAATTTCGGATACAAAAAGGCCGATTATCTTAACGACATCTGATGGAGGGATATTGCGTAATCTGGACCAAAATTACGAGAAATTTTTGTTTGGGCCGATAGCTGTCACAAAACAGTTGTCACGGTTACAAGAAATTGCAAGAAATGAACATTTTTCTATTTCTGACGACCAAATTACAGATGTTAAAATAGCAAATCAAATTCTCAAATGTGATTTAAGGAAAACCATCCATAATATACACTTTTGGTTCAGTAATATCGCTACGAAAACAACGCAGAATTCACCTAAAATCATAGAGGAGAAGAAAACTAGAAAGACAAGACGTAGTCGGGGAAAATTAAAATATGATGCAGATTCTGAGAAGTCGATTGCAGTAAAGACATTAACGAATATTTCTAATTTTTCTTCAAAAATCTGCGGAATTCATGATATTCTTTTCAAATCAGATGCTGCTGCCTCAACAGATCTGAATTCCACGACTCCAGTTGCTCAGCTTTCTGATATTGGCAAATTATGCCAACTTTTGCACAATTGTGAGCCTTCTCAATTATCTGTAGCGGAGGATGTAGTATCAATAATGCTGTCGTCAAAATTGCCTCCGATTATACTATTGAACTGGTTCTCTCTTCTGCCATCATGTGATGATATGAAACCACAGTTTTCTGTTGGTAAAACTCCACTGGAAATCCATGTTCCTCCAACGTTTGCCGCAAGGGACGTTGAAATGGAATTTTCATCTTATGACTTCACAGTAGAAGAAAGTTTCACTCCTCATGTACAGGTGAGGGGATTATTTGTAAGTTTTCATTTTTTTAGGGTTCCGTGGACATAGAAAATCGCGCTAAGCCTGGTGGTGGTGATTTTCACATAACTGCTGGCCAGCTGCATCTTCCTCTACCGTCCAATCCACTTATCTAAAACAAATAACTGGCTAACTAATCCCATACCTGACATGGGCTATATCCAGACGAGAGGTCGTGGTTTGCCATATGATTGAATTGTCTTGTGGAAACACATTGATCAGTATTTGCTATTTATCAAGCTAAAAACATGAAAAAGTCTTTCTATATTTATATTTAGTGTAGTATTTCAAACTGTATCAAACGGAAAAAGTACTTCCACAAATGTAAGTGCTTCCGAACATTGAGGGTAATTGCTAATATAGGCAGCATTTTTGGTAATTTTGTTTAGGCTGGTTGCAAAAAACACCCGGCGTAAATTACGGTATATTATTAGGCCATAACATTAATATTTGGATATCAGGCATAGACATAGCCAATCCAGGCTAATAGAATCCGCATTCAATTTTAAGTTTTCTACGATGCCACAATTGTTAGCTTATATTCCTGACCAAAAAGATAGAAAGCCAGTTATCATTCAACTTCGCTAGTTTCCTCAGCTAGTCATAACACCAGTCAATTGTCAGTGATGTAACACTATGTCAAAAGATTTTTTTGGGTAATTTTATGAAGAAACAACATTAAATTCGATTTTTTGATTACTCTCCGAATGCAACACGGGCCACAGATAATGAAGCCGGGTGCGCAGGATTGGGTTTGGACCACCCTGATCTATATTATCAAACTTTTTATTTTTGTTTGTTTTTTATCAGGAACCGATGGATTTCCTTATTGATGAAGACTCAGTTGATCGGTGTTATCCAGTTCATGCCAACTACAACCAGTATTTTCCTGTTCAAACTGGCAACAACCAGATGTATCCATACCAAGTTAGTTATAACCAGTTCAACCCGGTTCAAACTGGAAGGAATATCTCTCCTTATGTATATCAACCATACCCTGCACACACAACCTACTATCAACCACATGCAGCTCAAACATATTATCCACATCAAAACTATCCAAACCAGCTAACTCCTGTTCAAACCGGTCATAACCAGTCTCATATTCCCCAAAATTATTATCCGCCTCAAAATTGTCCAAATCCTGTTCAAACCGGTCACAGCCAGTCTCATGTCCCCCAATCCTATTATCCACCTCAGAATTATCACCATCCATATCCTGTACAAACTGGTTTCAACCAATCTTATCCAGTCCAAGCAGGACCTCACCTAAGCTTTCCAACTGTTCAGTCTTACCCTGCTCAATCCATCACCCCAAACTATAATGTCTACAATCACGCTCAGCCTGCCCAGTTTTATCCAGCAACAACTGTCCCTGGCCAGTATTATCCAGTTCAAACCAGTTCCAACCAAAACTTTCAGCCATTTCAAACACGTTTGCAGCCTAAAACTCATTCAAAGCAACTAAATGAAAGCCAAGCACCACTAAATGCTGCTTCTGCTATAAGTCCTGATCCGACCGGTTCCAACCATATGCGACCAGTTAAAACCAGTTCTAACCAGCAAAATCAAGCATCACACGTTGTGACCAACTCTGATTCAATGCCAAAGTATAAAAAAGTTGCGAAAAATAGAGCAAAATGCGAAATCAAAACTTTACAAGCTATTAGCGATATGGCAGACATATGCTGTTTCTCAGACATATTCAAAACTTCAATTTCGAGAACTCAGAAAAGCCACGATGTTGGGAATAAACTTCTGGACGATACGAGATGTAAAATCAAAGACGGTCTTGGTGACTTTTTACCAAAAATCACAGAAATTAGTCACCAAGCTGTGGAAACATCTTCAGATCTACAAGCTGCCGTTCAAGTCAGGGCCATGTCTAGGTGCTGTGTTGACTTTAAAAATGCTCTTGTTGCATTAAAGAAAAATTTTGAGGATTTTAAAACCAGTGCTGAGTTGGTTGAAGTTGAAAAGAACACTTCAGATTCAAAACTTCCTGAAAATAACGGTTTGAAGGAAATGGCAGGTTTTGAGTCCAGTGAAAACCCTAAAAAGAAATCGGAATTTGTGAACACTTTGAAAAGAACAGAAAAAGATTCAAAAAATATTTCCACTGGAGAAATTAATTCCGCATCGAGGGAAGGCAAAGATGCTGAGCCCTCTAACATGAATAATCAAAATTCATCAACAAATAATGACTCAACAATAAAACTATTTGTACCAGACAGTTTGGAATTACGTTTTCCGTATGAAGGTAAAACACGAAAAAATAACCAATTTATGCGACACTCCCTTCAGTCTCAATTCAGTGGTGGGATGTCCGTCACACCTAGTGTGTTCGTCATAGATTTTCTTCCTGCTATCCGCTCGATTTGTCGATCCGAAGACGTGCGAAAAAATTCGAAGAAAAAGCGAAGATTTTTACATTATTTGAATTCGATTAAAGTTTTTCCGAAGCCAACAGAACTGAATAAGCTTGTGAACGATTACAAGGAAGTTATTTTAGAAAAATAATATTTTAATCAACAAGGGACAACTGAAATACACTTATTATAGTTTGCTGTACCTCTTTCATCATTCCCAACTCGATGATTACTAATTCGTTAATTTAAAACATCGCGAGGAATATTAGTGGGAGGTTGGGGTAACCGGAAAAGGTTGACTTCTGTGTGTTCATTGTTTAACATCGCCAATTCAGAATATATCTGAGAATAATATTACTTAATTCCTCTGATTCTCTTCATGCTTATTCCCGCTCGTGTTTTTCTGCCAAGCGAGTGTGAAAGAACGTCGCCTATTCATTGTAAGACATCACCTGCTCTTGCAGTTGTGGTTCGCTATGTCTAGTTCTGTCTCCAGATTTTTTTCAATTTTTAGTCCAATTCAGTTTTGTCCATCTTTATTCCTGTCTGTTTTTTCTCCAGCGAGTGTCAGAAAACATTACATAGTTCTCCCATCAAATTGTCCTAAACCAACATTTTATTGAATTATTGAAACTTTATTAACGATTTTTTTGAGAAAGAAATATATTTGTTGGTTGCTATCTCTAGTTCTGTCACAGAATCCTTTTTCAGTTTTCACTTTATTTTGCTTCTGATCATCCTCAATTCTGCAAAATTTACTTCAACTCAATTTTATTGTTATTGAAAGTTAATAAAATCGCTATTTCTGGGCTCTGTAGTTAAGGAGAACGCAACACCAACACACCCTGTCGCTCACACTCTGAAAAGCAACAAAAATTATGACTCCCTGTATGCTAGCATTCTTTGATTGTTGGTTGTGAATGCTCAGTCCACCTAATACTTTTTGAGTTTCGCTTGAAAAAATGCCTCAGATTTTTATCTTAATTGAAACCATAACCTGGCCTCACAGATGTGAAATCATCATGCCACAAGGAATATCTTGATTGAAATTTATATTCTCACAACCCAACCCATGTCAGCAAGTTTAGGAACTCGTTAAGGCTTATCCAGAAGTGAGAAAAGCTGTTCAGATACGGCATTCTCCACCATCAAATCCATGCATCTGAAACAAATAACTGGCTGACTAATTCCATATCCGACATGGACTGGTAACCAAACGAGTGGCCGAGGTTCGCCACATGATTAATTCCGCTTTCCTATCCTTGCATAAATGTGGAAAATCTTACCCCAAAACTGTTCTCAACTCAAATCATTTTTTATGAATTTTATAGAAATATACAATTTAGTGTTTTTTGTGCTGTTGTGTTTTATCTCGACTTTTGTTTTTTAATTTCACAGATTTAATATAAATAAATTGTAAGCGAGAAGATTTGGAAGTCCAAAAAAACTCTATGGCGAAACCTGGTGGCAGCGAAGAGGATTGGGGAGGATTTAGCAGTGGGGATGAATTAACTCCGGTTAGTAGGGGAACCACCTAATTATTTTTCTCTCTATGAATAATTTATTTGAAAAGCGCTTTTAATATCAATTTGATTCTTCACCATGATTAATGATGTTTAAGGAGATCTTAGATAGCAGACAGCTCGCTCATTCAAAATGGTGTCTTTTTATGTGTTCAATGAATTGTATAGGTGATGACTCATAAAATGACTGTCTGGCTTACCTTATATTCATTCTGGACTGGCTTGGTGGTTAAAGCATTTTCAGCAGCATCTGGAAGAGCAGTCATTATTGGACACGTAGTGGAGATAACGATCGTTTCAATATTATGTTGTTCTTGTTGTTTGACACAGAACAACACACCTAGTGGAAATATTAAAAAACCGCTTTTCTCTTCGAATACTGGACCAATTGCTTTGAAATTTTCAGTGGTTAAAGATAAAATTTTTCCCCAGAAGGCTATTACTTTTATTCATTTTAAATATTTCTGTCAGCTCTGAGATTTGTTTTTGTTTGCTATGATGTCATTAAACGTTCTGCAGATATCAGACGCCATTTTGTGTCCTACTGTACTGCTTCGCTTGGTGTGAATATATTTGTAGACTGTGGTCTGACGGTACGGTAAACCGTGCTGTATGCGAACAGACGTGTTCATATATTTGGGCGTAGCTCTCTTGTTGATATCAATGTTTAGTTTAATTAGTCGCAAGTACAAATTTACTTCAGCACTGGGCTCTCGCTTGCGCTAATTACTATACGTTACGTACACTTATTTTTGTTATTAATCATCAACCTACCATTTGATTAGTGCCTTCCTGCAGAGCGGAGCTTTGACCTATATTTTTTTTCAGAAATCCAGCACTCAGTCTGCAGCTGTGATCGACATGGGAGCGATAGACAGTGCTTCCTCTCTTACTTCTAGTTTCGAAGATATTTCTGACACGGCCCAAGCAAGGCATCGGGATACAGAGACAAGTGATCCTACTGGTGTTATGGGGGGTCTTGGTGGGGGTATCGGAAAAGTTGTCGCAGATCAGGTGGGTTCGGAAAGGCCAGCTTCGTATCTGAGACAATTTTTATGTTCTTATGTCAATAGATTCCTCACAAAATGGTGATTTTATTCTGGGTGATAACTAAATGCGAAGCCGTGATTCCACTCTATGATTAAGCGAAATTATCAGTGCTCCTCTCATCATGAAAAATATATCAAAATCTATCGTAGCTCTAAATGTTTGAAAATTTCTGAAAAGTCTAATTCTTTTTTATGAGACCAATGCCATCATTGTTAAAAGAAAAATCAAAATCTAATTATTTTGAAATCTAAAATTTACTATATCAAGTATTATTTCGAATGTGAATAGATATTCTACAAATTTTTCATCCTTAATATTAACCCTATATTATTTGGTCACCCCTCTTGCTTACTAACCTACCGTAGTATCACAGTTCTAGGTTGTGCAATTGTAATCAAAATGAATCCCGCAAATAAGAGGAATTTCTATTCTCAGTTTCTACAATCCGGCCGACAGCAGGCTCGCAGGATATTTGATCTGTACGGGAACATTGATATTCTTCGACCGTATTTTGATGTCGAGCCTAAGATTCTCGCAAACCGACTTCTGTACTCTTTCGTTCCGGTCAGGTCTCTAGCCACACCACAGGTTAGTAAGTAATAACTCACTTAAAATATAGCTGTTCATCATTACTTTATGCCTCTGCTGTGTTGGACCAGGGGAAGTTGGAAATTTTGAACTAATTGACAAGTTATTCCAACTCCCATTATGTTCAAACAATTCATGCTCAACAAAGTAAAAACACTCGGTGAAATAACCTTATCAAGCAACGGAACTAGGAAGAACAAGGAGTTTTCTGTCGAAGGAAAAGTCAAATCAGTTTTGCACCTAGCATTGTGGCCCCTTCCCAACTGCTCTGTGGCCCCTGGGGCTCCTAGTTGGGAAACGCTGCTTAAACGAATCCTGGGCCAAAGTTTGCCCATTCCTATATTGAGATGTTGACTTTCCTTGAAATTCAATGCTCAATTTGATTCTTATTTGGTTGTCATACTTGAAAGTTTTATTAGCTTCATTTTCTTTCCTTCAGAAAATACCGAGTGAACTATACGGACCTTTGATGACGGTTTTCACTATGGTTGCAATATTGCTAATGACAATGAAGGCATCTGGGACTGTACTGGTAAGCAAGGGGTTAAGGCATCTGGGACTGTACTTGTAAGCAAGAGGTTAGACTTCTGGGACTGTACTGGTAAGCAAGGGGTTAAGGCATCTGGGACTGTATGGGTAAGCAAGGGTTTAAGGCATCTGGGACTGTACTGGTAAGCAGGGGGTTAAGGCATCTGAGACTGTACTCGTAAGCAAGAGGTTAGACTTCTGGGACTGTACTGGTAAGCAAGGGGTTAAGGCATCTGGGACTGTACTTGTAAGCAAGAGGTTAGACTTCTGGGACTGTACTGGTAAGCAAGGGGTTAAGGCATCTGGGACTGTACTGGTAAGCAAGGGGTTAATGCATCTGGGACTGTACTGGTAAGCAGGGGGTTAAGGCATCTGAGACTGTACTCGTAAGCAAGAGGTTAGACTTCTGGGACTGTACTGGTAAGCAAAGGGTTAAAAGCAACATCTGGGACTGTATGGGTAAGCAAGGGGTTAAGGCATCTGGGACTGTACTGGTAAGCAGGGGGTTAAGGCATCTGAGACTGTACTCGTAAGCAAGAGGTTAGACTTCTGGGACTGTACTAGTAAGCAAAGGGTTAAGCAACATCTGGGACTGTATGGGTAAGCAAGGGGTTAAGGCATCTGGGACTGTACTGGTAAGCAGGGGGTTAAGGCATCTGAGACTGTACTCGTAAGCAAGAGGTTAGACTTCTGGGACTGTACTGGTAAGCAAGGGGTTAAGGCATCTGGGACTGTACTGGTAAGCAAGGGGTTAAGGCATCTGGGACTGTACTGGTAAGCAAGGGGTTAAGGCATCTGGGACTGTACTTGTAAGCAAGAGGTTAGACTTCTGGGACTGTACTGGTAAGCAAAGGGTTAAGCAACATCTGGGACTGTATGGGTAAGCAAGGGGTTAAGGCATCTGGGGCTGTACTGGTAAGCAAAGGGTTAAGCAACATCTGGACTGTATGGATAAGCAAGGGAATAAGCCATTTGGGACTACTCGTAAGCAAGAGGTTAGACTTCTGGGACTGTACTGGTAAGCAAAGGGTTAAGCAACATCTGGGACTGTATGGGTAAGCAAGGGATTTAGGCCATTTGGGACTGTACTGGGAAACAAAGGGTTAAGATATCTACTACGCTTGTTTTTTTCAACAAGTTGTAGATTTGATTTTTAGGTGAATTTCCTTTTGTATTCGTTATTGAAATTGAATTATTTGTTGCTCAATATTAACTGTATACGTGGGAAGTATCACAGAGTAAAATATTTTAAGAGCGTAAGATAAGTCGAGATTTCAAAACCTTTCTAATGTCGAAGAAGTGCAGCTTTCAAACAAATATTTGGTTAAATGGTTACTTTGTATTAGTTATTTAATTTTACATTCATAAAAGGGGCGCTCTTCAAGTATGCGTGCGAAAATGGCGGACACCGGAACGTAGTATATGTACCAGGTTAGGGTTAGGCCATAATTTCAGGTACAAATACTACAGAAGTCACTTGGCTAGTCCCCGAACTCGTAATAGAACTAAAATAAGGAACATTGGAATAAAATTATGACCTAACCAGTTCACATAAGCGTTACAGAAATATATTTGTGTTAGTGTGCAGCAAGACTCTTGAATCACTTAGAATGCCTATTAGTGTTTGACTATATTTTTGAGCTGCGATATTTCGCCAAATCTTTGAAAAAAAAGGGGTACTCCTGGAGTATGTCGCATAAACTGAACCATAACCTGGTATACATAACCTGGTATACAACCTGAGTTCAGGTTGTGCGCCATCTTGGTGCGCATATTTCAGGAGGTCCAAAAAAAGGTTTGGAACTACTGGTCCTGAGCCTTCTTTAGAGAGAACAAGCAAAACATGCATGATTTTTATTTATTTTTTAGCAACAAGGAACGCTCATGGGCACGGCATTTGGAATTTGCTTTGGATATTGGGTCGGGGTGTCGGGCTTCATGTACTTTCTGGCTTATCTCTGTAACACTTACATAAGCTTAGTTCAGTGCTTGTCATTACTGGTGAGTGGCTGTTTTCATTTTATCTGAGCTCTGGAGCAGTGGTTCTCAAACGGTATGGCGCACCCAGCACCCCACAAGGGGGCGGCCTAGACAATTTTTTGGGGGGGGGGGCGTGAAGCTAATTAGAAAATAAAATATTGGTTAGATTTGAACTATCACCGCCTCATTTTGGATATTTTAGTTTCATCCAGGTATTTTCAAGGTGTTTTTGTATAAAACTTACTTCCGCCTTATCGGTTATTTGTAGCTTATTGTTAGCTAGATATTTTTGAAGTGAGGCGCGAGACTTGACAAATTTTAAAAAGGGGCGTGGCTTGAAAATTTTGAGAACCACTGCTATAGAGTCTCGATTTATTCTTGTCGCATCAATCTCATTTTGGTGTTTCTGACTTTCAATGGTGGTCAAAGAAATTGAAAAAAAATTTTCAGCAAATAAAAAACAAACCTTAAATGGAGTCTGGAGTTAGACATGTTTGCCTCGAATGTTCAAACTCCATAGAGCAGGTTTTTGAACCAGGGGCCAAAAATTTTGCCCACTTAGACTGGCGGGCCATGTAAGAGTGACATAAAAAGTTACATTTTATGAACAATATTTACAGTGTTAGAAAGCAAAGGTGAAAAACAATATGTCTCGTGCCAAAACTAAATTTAACCACAATCTCAACAAATTCTTTGAGCTATTTTTACCTAAGACATCAAAATTTGATCAAAATCACCCTTGCATGACTAGGCAGAATTAACATTACTGATATGGTATTATTTTATTCTGACAGGGATACGGTATGGTAAGCCATTGCATTATTCTTCTATGTGGACACATTACGCATTACACACATACAATGTTTTATCTACTGTGGTTGACACTGGCTGGAGCTGCAGCATTTAGAATGGTAAGAAAGAGTTAAGCAAGGATTTGCCACACTGTGCTCTTTTAAGAACACATGCTTGTTTATTTTTAAAACTATGCGACACATCGAAAAGTCCGTTCTAGGGAAATTTGCTGTAGGAAATTTCGCTGTGAGAGAATTTGGGTTTTTGAAGTAGCTCATTATTTAAAAAAGATTTGTTATTTAAGAGCATACCTTAACCCTATTAACCTAACTGTTTTCATCACAAATACTTGTTTTACAGCAAAATGCTATTTCGACGAAATTTCCTACAGTGAAATTTTGGACACGCAAAAAGTCATGTCAGTGGCATTGAAGCCGTTGTAATTTGTTTTCAATGTCTGCCTGCCCCCAAATTAACATAAGGGTTAATGTCCCAAAATGTTGTGTTTCATCTGATTAAAACAGCGGGCCCGCGGGCCAGAGCAATATAATCCGGCCCGCAAAACAGCTGTTTTGACTACTAAGTTCCTTATGTATCAGAATTTATTGTGAGGCACGTGTATAGACTAATTTATATTATAATCTAACAAGTATATAATTTACCATTACTCATTTATTGAGCCAATAACTTAATTATAATTAGACAAATGGCAACAAAACGCAGAAAAGTTGATGCTGAGTGCAAATGGTTTAATAGCGCAGAAAATGTTCAAACGGTCAATCTTCACGCGCTGCTTAAAATTTAACTTCTGGCTTGTGTGAAAAAAAGTGATTCATCGGCCATCTGTTTGGTTTTTAATTGTATATTAATACCTGCGACTCGCCAATGACTTGCAACCTTTAATTTTGGCTTGCGAGTGACGATAGGTTGCCGATCCCTGGCCTACATCATCACACTTCTGATTACCCTATGTGGGGATAGTTTTGTGCGAGAGGATTGCTGGACTCTTCGAAGCTGTAGGGTGGATTCACGTAACCGCTTGCCGCTCACGGCTTTCTCAACCATCAAGTCTATGCATAGGTAAACAAATAACTGGCTAACTAATCCCACACTTGACATGAATTGATAACCGGACGAGAGGCCGTGGTTCACCATATGATAAAGCCTTTGAAATTCCCCTCGAGGATACATTAATGTAAATCTCATCCTAAAATATACCGTGATTTGCTGGCTTCCTCCACTATGCACTAGGAACCCCTGACAGAGAGCCACAAGCCATAAAAGGTTGGGTAACACTGCTATATGCTGTTTGTTTCTTACTAGTTCTTACATGTTTTACTATGCCTGATAGAGATCAGCGGCTATTTCATATTGAAAATATAATTTCAGGCACACTTAATTCAGTACTTGGTGTCAGTTCAGCATGCACAAGCTAAATAAGTATAATAATTAACGATGCGCGACTGGCCAGAATAATATCAGGCTTGAAAGTTAATGTAGATGCTGCCATTTTTCATACATGGTTGATATTTCCTAACAAACTGTTGAATTTCTTCACAGATCACTATTATGCTTTCCCGTACAGTCGGCAATTCACAAAGGATTCTACTCTGTGCCAGCATAGCTTGTCTTCATATGCTGTTTCTTTTATATCTGCATTTTGCTTATCATACAGTGGTTGAGAGTAAGTTCATTATTTTTTTATACGAGTTAACTCAAAGCAAGGTGCCAAGCCCTCACTAAAATTGGAAAGAGTACTGATTTAAGAGTTGCAAGTTTGCTCAAAGCAAGGTCCGGATAGGATAGGATTTACATATTTATCCCGGGGGAGAGGAAAGCCGATAAGACGGCTTATCCATATGGCGAACCACGGCCTCTCGTCCGGTTACCATTCCAAGTCGGGTATGGGATTAATTTTACTGTATTGTTTGTTTTCGGAAGCATGGACTTGGTGGTGGAGGAAGCCGTAACCGACCAGCGGTTACGTGAACCACCCAACGATTGCGAGGAGTCCAGCAATCCTCTCGCACATAACCATCCCTGCATGGGATTCGAACCTGCGAACCCACGCAGAGTAATTAGAGGTGCGGTGGCGAGCGTATTCCTAACGCTTAGCCCGTTGAGCCACACCGCCGCGCCCTCAACTAAAAGTTGAAAGAGTACTGATGGAAGAATCAGAGATAATCTTGTTCACTTATGTGTGTGTGTGTATTCGTGACCTTGCTTGAAATATTCCTCTTCAAAAAAAAATTTTTTTTTTTTTAGTTATTATCGACGCCATTGACATGAAGCACTTACATCAAATTGCTAACACTGTTGCTATAGATACGGGTAGACTCAAAGACGGAGCTGAAGCCTTGGGGAACGAATCTCTAACCGCTTGATCGAAATTTATTCATATATATATATATATATAATTACTGTATTTATGCTATGCTTCAATGCTAGCGCATTGAACATTATTATAGAAATTTTATATCGGGGAGAGGAAAGTTGATAAGATGGCTGAATGCCATGCCGAAATACAGAATCTCGTCCGATTGCCAGTCTGTGTCTTGTGTAAGAATAGTTTGCCGGTTATTCGTTTTAGATCAGTTTCGTTAAGACGACTTATTTATGTTACAAGCTATGACATCTCGTCGGGTCAATCAATGTCGGTTATACGATTTACCAGTTGTTTTTCCGAAGCATTTACTGATAGATGGGTATTTCGGTACGTTTTTGGAAAAATTAATTAAGTGCAGGGGGCTCTTAGTTCTGTTTTGTCTTCGAGTTTGTAATTTCTAAATTCCTAGGAGATCTTAAACAGATGCAATCATTACGGTGCTAACATTCCCATTAGCTGAATCACGAGTTGTGTAAACAATATCTTATATTGAAAGAATGTATGACATTGTTGCGCCCAGTCCTTAGGCTTGAACTAGGGTTTTCGCATAAGGACTTTGACATTCAATAATAGACGATTTGCGACGCCATAATAGCGCATGATTGCCACCAGGTATATTCATTTCGAAGATGAGTGAACCACAACCGGTGTATAGCAAAACGATTAAAACTGATCTCATATTTTGTACTTTTAACGGATAGTGAAAAATATATTGTTTTCATTATCGTGATCTTAAATAGACCGGCACAAGCAGTTTTTTCGAAAGTGCGCGGTATTTATAATACAGGGTGTCCATAAAGACCGTTTAAAATTTCAATTTTGTTATGAAGTCAGTTTTCAATATATCTTAACCAGGTTTGTTGTTTTTTAATCAGTAATTGTTTGAGTTTTTTTACTTCCTTTAATACATCTATGAGGGCCAAAACAGTACATATATATGGTAAAGACAAATTCCCTTTGCAATTTTGAGATTTTATGAACATATACATAGATTTTAGAGGGAAAGTCTGTAGTGATCGCTGTCTCCCTGCTATCGCAAAATGAAGCCTGTTCTGTCCAAGGCCGCGGATTCCGAAAAACATTAGAAGGGACTCCCAGCTTTTTAAAAAACGACCTGGATATCGCCAGAACAAGTTTAAGCTACCTGTGAACACAAGAGGTCGCATCTGTACCATGGCTTCGCATTCTAATTTGCATTACTGGTTCGAATGATTGTTAACGTGGAAGATCGCTGGACTCCTCGCAAGATGTTTCACGTAACACTGGTCAATTACGACTCCTTCCATCATCAAGGTGGACCAGAGGTACGCAACCTGCGAAATGAGCACAACGCAATTTTACCTACGTTGCCATTATTTATTACCATAGTGGATGAAATGCTTTTTACTACGATCCTCGGAAATGTTGGAAAAGAAGCGTTATGTATTAGTGCTATATGTGTTTATCACTAGCAAGAGCAATTCTCCTCTACCCCAATGCTAGGTCTTTTTTTGAAGATGCCAAGGTTTCTACCGATATTTGAAAAAAACAGTGTTAAATCAGCGGGAATTGTCATTGTTCATTATTAAATGAAATAAACACCGTATTCCCGTGAAAAATTTAGCGAAAATTTGAATGAAATATCATAGTATCCAGAGAAAATTTAGGAATAAATAAAAGTTATAGCCTTGTAAGTTGATCAACGTAATTTGAAACGGGTTCTCTCAATATAAAACTTCTCAATAACAGGTTCCATCAATTCAAAAACCACCCTCTTCCCAACGCCAGGTCTCTTTCCAGATTTTCCGGCGACGCCAAGATTTGTTTCTAGCATATCAATATTAAAAAAAAAACATTATTATAGCAGCGGGAATTGCCATTTTTTTCTTATTTATGACGACATAAACAGACAAAGATTTCCCTAGCTTTTCAACAGCGTTACATTTGCTGTTAAATTCGAAATCAAAAATTTTGAGTCAAAGAGATGGCGCTCCAGAAGTGTGTGTACCACTATGGAGATAACAAATTTTGTTCCCTTACTTTAGATCAAGTTGTGTAAAGGGAGTGAAACCTATGGGCAGTGGGTATATTCACTTGGCTAACACAGACAGTCCCCGAACTCGTAATAGGAATTGCCATTGTTCAATATTTATGACCACATAAACAGACAAAGATTTCCCGCGCTTTCCAACGGCGTCACATTTGCTGTTAAATTCGAAAACAGAATTTTTGAGCCGGAAAAATTATATGTTAGAATATTATTATAATAAACTAATACGTGATAACTCTTCGGGGTCAAAGAACACGGAAATGAATGAGTTGTTCCGACGAAATTCAGTATTTTAGGAACGGGTTCTCTTATGTACGAAATTCACTGACAACAGGTTCCCTCGTAAAAAAAATATGTCAAATATAAAAATAAATATAAATACTTCTGTCCTCATTTTTAAGAAACGTACCTATTTTGACATGTGTCCTATTTTTGTTTTATTTCTGGGGTAGAGGTTCTTATACCGGGCACTTAGATTGGTCATTTTGAATGATTGATTTGCTAGAAATGATATTAGAACACATTTGCTTGCTACACGAATTCATAACTACGCCATAAGTTTGAGCTGTCTTATATTATCGGCTCTTCTCGAGATAAATATGAAGAACACATCATATGACGGAAGAGAAGAAAGCCAATAGAGGACAGCTTAATCTTATGGCGAACCACGGCCCGCGGGCCAAATCCGGTCCGTTTGGTGGTTCAATCTGGCCCGCCTGATGCTGCCATAACCAAACTGTTTTTAACTAATTTTGTATGCACTGCATAGTTGTCATTATTGGAATCTGTATGGTACAATGGGCTTGTTTTATTATGATCGTGATATGTTGTATTTCAGGTTTCCACAGACTTTTCATGTTATGGGGACGTTGATTAACATAACTTTATGTTTACATGGCCCGCCAGTCTGGGTAAGCAAAATTTATGGCCCTTGGTCAAAAAACCTTGTCCACTTCTGTCAGCCAGTTGTTTGTTTCAGACACATTAACTTGACGATGGAAAAGCCGTGACCTGGCGGGCGTATTCCCAGTAACATATAACACGATTCGCCATACCGTCGAGGCCATAAAATCGTGAACTCATGGAACATGTAAAACATGGCGACCCTTACTGTGGTCAGGTTGTAATCGATGCAGACTGAGCCCAGCTGGAATATGAATGGAAATAAAGGCAAAACCAAACCAGTCTTTAAGCGTTATTACCTTTTTTCCTGTAAGTTGCCGCACGAACAAAAAGTTCCAAAACCGCTGTGTTAAAATAAATCTGCTAGTAAGACATGTCCCATGAAAAATGAGACGATTATCTAACACCATCTTACGCTATTATAATGTAACAATCGCGCCATTATAATGTTATCGTGACGCAAATTTACACGCGCGTAAAATAATCTTTGATGTATATTGGAGACGCAGTGAATTTTGGGTCAAAAAACCTAAATTTTAGATTGTGTTTGATAAAAATCTTTTTTTACAAAAATATTGAAATCGTACCCGATTTCGACAGATTTAATAACAAATAATTTAAAATTATTAAGATTGTTCGGTGATAATGCAACAGAATTATAATTATGATGACACAAATGATTGATTGTGATCTCACAAATCGTTGTAAAGTTATGCTAATACTGGTCTGCAGGTGTAAAAACTCTGCGCGCCAAACCATGATTAGACAATCGGTGTTGAATATACGAACAATTTGGGGCACAATGCCATTTTATCGGAACAATACACTATGTGGAATAATAATATACATTCGCTTCAGACAAGGTTACAAAAACTTGTGATGAGAGACAACACCGAATATGGCTCGGGATTCTGGATCTGAAAACTTTGACTCCAATTTCTGCCTAAATAATCCAACTCCAATAGTAATAATAAAGAATATTAGCAATATGCAATCTCTAATTTTATTGCTATTTGCAAGTTGAAACCTCGTCTTTGTACAATATCATTAGTTTATAATGTGTGAACGAATAAGTATTATAAAACCAAGAGAACTATGCTCAAATATATGGACATAATTTTGATGACGTCATAGCAGAAATAAAAGTAATAGCCTTCTGGAGAAAAATTCCATCTTTAACCACTGAAAATTTCCAAGCAATTGGTAATCAAAGAGAAATGCGATTTCCTCAGAACGTGTCAATGATCAAGAACAACATAACGTTATTATGTTATGTTAACGATCGTTATGTCCACTAAACATGTCCAATATTAAAGAACTGAAGAATTTTAGCAATATTACAGCAAACACACCCCCTCCCCCCTTCCTCCTAAAAAAACCGATAAATTCTTTGGTGGAGATGAACCCACCGGCTAGGAAACGTGACAGTATACTTTCACGTTCAACCACTAGCGTCGGTTGAGCTGCCTTGCCAGAGTTACTCTCCCGAGAAGAAAAAAAAATTATCGTTGAAAAAGTCAATTTTGATTGTGGATAAGTATATTGTGAACTAATAAAACGCATTGTGGTGTGAATAATATATAAGTAATTAATTATTTAAACATCCAATTCATTCTGTTGATAAAATCTTTAATTTAGAAATTTTGTTCCAACGATTGTATCGACCGTTATATGTAAACTGAGTGTTTAGCGCTCATGGCCCGCCTCCCTGTTTCATCATCCCAGTGATATATACAGTGGTATTTTGATTGGTAGATTCCCGTAGTACGACTTATCGGCATCTTCGGTAAAAACACGAAAATCCTATCTTGTGATTAAGTCGTCTTATCGAATTTCCTATTCCCCTAAAATGTTATGAAAATCCTGTTCTACAAATAATCCGTCTTATCGGCTTTCCTCTTGTTTAATATTCAACATATTCTGGATATACTCCACCCCTACCTCTGTAACTACACCCACCCACCCTTCTTGCACAACTGTCTGTATAAAGGACCATATTATACTTGATTGATTTATTATAATTTACACCTATCAAAAGGATTGAATGCCGCACATTCATGTTTTAGGCCAATATGGTCTTGTGTATACATCCCGTCTCTTTATATTG